GAGGGGGGGGGGGAGGGGAGCCGATGATGACCCTGCGCTTTCCGCACCGTCCCCCGCCTCGGGCCCGAGCGGCCCCGTGGAAAAAAAAAGCCATAAATCCCGCCCCGCCCGGCAGGAATTCCTCAGCAGCGTCACCCAGCAATGCCCCTTTTGTCCGCCCGGCCCGGCCCCGCCACAGCCCTACGCGAGGCTGGTTCTCGGCCGGAAACGGCCCCGGCCACGTTTTCTGCCCTGAAAACTGCTGGAGCACTCTCCCCACTCCCTGCTCCTGCTGTGCACAGCCCGACGTGCTCCCACTGCCGTGGTCCCAGCCTCGCTCGGCACGGGCAACCAGCGCTTTCCTAACAAAATCCCCGTCCTGCCCGTAATGATTTCGCGTGTTCCACGCAAGGGAGGATAAACGGAGGCTGCAGCCTCCCTTATTGACGAGGGACGCGCAAATGGCTTTGTCATGCAAATGTGGCTCTAAGCCACTTTCATATAAAGCCACTTAATGCCGAGCAGCCAGTGATCCTCGCCCGCCCGTCAGGCAGTGCCTGCCCTGTCCTTGAAGGAACGGAAATGGAGGCACTGGCACAGATGCGTGCTCCCTGCCTCCATGCTGAAACGGGATGACCTCAGCACGGGGAGAAGCCTTCCTTCCCTCCCCCCCACCATACCCCCCCCCCCCACCCCCCAAAAAAAAAACCGAAAAAGAAATCTCGCTCTCTTCCGTGAAACTAAACTAGTTTCCTGCCAGCCCTTCCTCGCTGATCACAGAATACGTCCCTTGTTCCTCTCCGTTCAAATGCCCGCGGTAATTACCTGCATGGATCGTGTTTCTCCTGTGTCCTAAAACATTTTATTTCTTTTTAGCTTGTCGTCCTCGCTTGGCATTAACTTTCGACAACAGCCAGCAGAGTGTGCTGTGAACGCTGAGAAAAGAACATCCTGCTTCTGGGAAATTTTTATATATATCTCTCTCTCTATATATATATTTATATATATATATATACATATGTACAGAAATGCAGATGAAGACATTTTAAGTGGTTCTAATACTTGCATGAGTGGTAGGTAGCTCCTCCCGTCAATTAAAATACTTCTCTTGTCGCAGATCACAGAACCTCTTCCTTAAAAATTAATAACCAAGTCATACTAAACCGTCTGCTTTCAGCGAGATTGCTTTCCAGTGTTTGTATAAAGTTGGAAAAGTGCCACAGTGGAGATGTCCAAATACGTTTCACAGTCAGAGAGAAGGATCTAGAACACAAGGTATTTAATAGATGAAAATGCGAATCGTAACCCCAGTGTACAGGAAGCAGCTTATGCAATTTTACAGTATGAGCATACGTTTCTCCAACCTCATTACTCCCTTGTTTGGACTGACTTACTGACAGTGGAGTTCCAAACAGGTTAATAAACACAGTAGAAATAAGTGAAATAAAAAAAGGATTGAAGAAAAGTATTTAGTAGATGTCTTGGAAATGGAAATGTTTGCTTGAAAAGCAAACACACTTATGTTTGGATTCCTTGTGCTATTCTGGTGTCTCTTCTTCCTTGTTTTGTAGGAACAGACATTTAGGGAGGAGTGAACTGAGTTGTGCTTGTGGGGTAACATATAGTTAGTTCTGTATCATTCATAAACCAGAACTGCATTAAAGCAAAGCCAAGTCTGAGACCCTGTGTAAGGGTTTTGAGGGCAAAAGGACATTATTGTTATGCAACCAAACTGGAATTAGGATTAAAAGGAAATCAGAATACATAAACAAAAGCAAATTCAGAGACAAGGCATTCAAATAAAATTGGCTGTGGGCCGCAACTATCTATACAAGTGTTAATTATTAAGTAAAACTCTTTTAGAAACATGTATTAGAGATTTCTTTTTTTTTCTTTTTCTCAGAGGCAGTCTGACAAGGCAATCAAAGCAGAATATTCTCCCCAGCTCTGCTTCTGACCAGAATTAATCAGATACAATGAGCCTAATTTTCATGGCCAAGAGAAGGTAATAAAACTAATAGTTGTATATTAGCAAGGAGTTACAAACTATCTCATATGCATTGCTTTGGTCATGCAATAATATTTGTGCTTGGTATTAAACACATGTGCGTGCACATGAGATAATAATTATAATGGTATCTCTGTTTTAAACAGTTTTTCAGGTTCTGTATGCCAATTAATACCAAATATTACTTGTCTGCTGGTAGCCATGTGTTAGAAGGCAGGTCTGTCATTAATTGTCAAGCACAGATGTGCATTATTTCATAGCCACAGAGATGATCATCAGTGAGGAGTTGGGCACAAGGAGGCAGCTGAGCAGTACTTCACAATTCATCACTCCCATGGAGGAAACGGTGAGCGGCAAGACAAGAATGTTTGCTGGCTACGCAAAAACCTTTTTAAGTTAGTGCGCAGTGAGGGTCATCTGTAACAAACTGTGGGTGATGAGGCAGTAAAACAGTAGATTAAATACAGAGTAGATATATGCAAGGTGATGTCATAACTGGTCATAACTTTACTTAAAAGGTAGGAATACCTGAATTAGTTGCTGCCACTTAGGAGTGAGACTTGAAGTATGTATGCCCTGCATGAACGCCATCTTTATGTTTGGAAAAAGCAAGGCACGTTTCAAGGAAAGGTACAGAGAACAAAACTGGGAGCACATTTATGGCACTCCAGAAATCTGTGGTGAATTTGCACCATGAGCATTGTTCCCTGCTTCTTAGAAAGAAAATGCTGTAACTAGAAAAGAATAACAAGGATGCTCGGCTGTCTGATTTTTTGTCCCTTGAAAGGGACAATTGAGGCTTGGTGTTTTCACCAAAGAGGGAGGATGCATGAGGCCAGTCACATCCTAAGTAACTTGTAGACAGTGGATGCCAGCTGACTTTCTGAGTACAAACCATCAGATTTGCAGTAGCAGGAGCCTGAGACTAAATAAACAAGTGGAGATGGTTCTTCTTTCAGTGCCTTTCTGAATGGCATACTGAGTACAGGGTGTTTCTCTAGAGGGTGCAGGGAAGATGGGCCAAGTATTTGGAAGAGGACTGTGTTGAGAGTTAATGAATGAACACCCCCTCACACTCAGGAAATTCCCAGAGCTGAAAGCAGTTGGTAGCTGTGGGAGTGTTGCAGAGAAGATATCATATATTTGCCTTGCTTTTCCTCTTCCTTTGACGTTTGCCTGTGGCCTGTGGTGGAAACAGGATGTTGGACTGAATGGGTTCTTGATGCGAGGCAGTACACCTCTTCCTCTGTATTCATGGAGGATCACACTGAAACACCTGGAGCTACATAATAGCAATAAGCCTGTGCGATGGGGTCTTTCTAAGCAAATTCACTGTCCATCTAGAGCAGGAGTTATGGAGCAGCTGCTGGGCATATATTTCTATTTTGCCTCATGATATACTTTGTGTTCTCAAAGTCTTAGCAGCAATGTGCATACAGCTGCATTGCAGTTGCATACCTACAATCAAGCTATCCTTTTGTCCTTCCTCAGTTGAAATACTTGTTCCATGAGAAACAGACCTGACAGTCTTACTTTTTAGATGAGTTTGTCTTTTGAAGGAGCAGCTGTGGACAAAAATCTCTTTACTCCTCTCCCCCATCTCTCCCACCTATCCTTCTCCCTTTGTTTGATGGTTCATGTATTAGCATCAATTTTAGCCACATTTGAATTCAGTAGCCAGAAGCTGACTAGCCAATACACACAAGGTGTTGGGCCGCTGCCTCTGAGCATGACTAAGGCATTGGATTTTGTCCAGTGATTTCAAATGCTTTTTGAATGGGAGAGAACAGTTCAGTTGCAAAATATACCATGCCCTTTGTGATTTTGTTTCCATCGTGTTCTACTTTGATACACCCATTTCTAATGTTACCTTTAATAAATAAATGGAGAAATATTGCTATCTTCTTAGTGAAAAAGAAGCATGTGACCTCTGAAAAACAAAGTGAACTTGTTAAAACCATGTAGTTCACCTGCTTGGATTTACATGCTTTCTTTCTGAATTCACCTATGCCATAGCTTATGGATCAGCGATACACAGTGAATCACCCTGTTCGACAGAATGGGACATGCAGAGTAAATTATGTTTGTCATCTCTCTGAGATTTTCTCCTTTGCTCACTACCTATAGGAGAGGATTTTCATAGTAATGTGGCCTGTCTTCACGCTCCATTTATTGTACTCCAATTGATGTATGTAATCTTGGTTGAACAGATAGGTAATGGAGTAAACACATAAAGTGTTGAATGCCTGAGCAACACATCTGAAACAAACAGGTAGGCAAGAATCAAAGTTCAAATGTTTAGAGACAAAAATTGGCATTCTTCTCTGACAGGAGCTTTTAATGCAAGTTTGTTTATAATTTTCTTGTTACAGGAAATGATAGAATTTGAAATTACAATGTTAATATATTTTATGTGCTAGTATTGTACAAGACTTTTCTGGTTTATTCCTGAATTGGATTTTCATATGTTGGCTTTTAATATCAGTAGAAAATGTTAATTTCATATCTGTGAACAGGAAAGTGTTTATGGACACATGATGAAAAAATGCTGTTTACTGTTTCAGAGACTGCTAAAGCTGACTGCACACTTTTGCTATTGATTGGCAATCCAGAAAGAGAAATCCTCTTCCAGTATTTTACCAGAAAAAGTCATCTTTCTCTTCCATGCACTTAAAGAGTGGGAAGCCATAGCTAAACAGCAAACAAGTTCTATAACTGTGGTATGGCAGCCTTTGGTGATTTGATATCTTCAATACAAACGACAAAAAACAATGTAGGAAAATATGTATTTTTTCTGAAACTAGGACACTAGGATATTTTTGTTGCCCCACCAGTGTCTGGCAGAGGAGATTTTATAGAAAGGAGTTTGAATACCTGTCTGAGCTGCCATAAAGTTCAGCTCTTCAGGTTTTGGGGCCTTTTTCCCAGGTGTATAAGGAATAGTCACATATGATGTAAAAGGGATCTATATACTGACAGATTTATTCTCTCTCCTAGTATTTCTATACAGACAGTTATTTAATCCATGTAAGAACCTTTCCTGTAGCAAGTTAGAAACATCAAGAAACTTTGCTGAATGCTTTAGTCACTTTTTTGTTCAATTAAGAGCATCTTGGGCATTTCTGAGACAGAGAATAGGTACATCATCTACTATTATAGTCTCCAAAACATAAGCTTTAGTTATATTGATGGTGAAAGGCTGAGTGTTCTGGAGAAAAGTTCAAAATTCAGGCCTTGCTGAAGTATTTAAGGAGATGGGAAATGTAAGTATTTAAAAAGAAATTCTTCAGATTTCCACTTTATATCGTGCAGTGTATTATGCCTTTTTTTTTCCCAAGCCATAATATAAAGAGAGTTTTTTACTATTGCTCCAAGTCAGCCTTTCTTGTTCTTGTGTGCAGAGTACCTGGAATGGAAGACCATAAAACAGCTGACAAAGTCTGCTGTAGCAAGAAAATCATGTGCCAGTTACCAGGGTTTAAGCAAGATTTGTCTCTTCTGGTCCTTGCAAATCTCTGTAAAACATTTTGTTGCTATTGCCCACAGGTTTGATCAGGTCTCTCTCTCTCTCCAGTTTGTTTTTTTCCCATGGTTAGCTGCAAACATATGATAAGTTCATCTCACAGTGCTGTCCATACCCACCTCCAGGCCCCAGTCCTGCTCTTCAGGACAGATGTCACCAGGAGCCATGACCACTGCAGCTCACTGAAGCATGAGAGAAGGATAATGTGGAATTGATCTCAGAGACTCTGCATTTTAGTTTCACACCAATCTACCTGAGAGAAATATGGAGACAACATATAGCTTAAGCCCCCTAGGAATGCAGGACCAGTGGGAGGTGCTTCTGAGGGCCTGTGCCATCCACAGAATTTGAATCTTGAATGTAATCTGAACGTCTCCTCTCAACATGATCAGAAAATAGTTTCTGATCAGGGTCTTGCTAGCTGTATTACTTCAGTTAGTAGATTTTGTTGCCTTAGTTTTGACTGCTTTTTCCCCCGCTCAGTGTGAACACTTGGCTTTGCCTTGCTAGAAGGAGGAGCAGTGACCATAGCAATTTAATATGTGATGTTAACTGATTTCTCTCTTGGAACAGGGAAGATTAGATTACAAATGTTTTAGTACTTGTGAGTAAGCTGAAACTGTTTATGAGTGAAAGAAAATAAAAAGAATTAATGATGCCACTCACTCCTTTCTTACAGGTTTGACATATACTACATTTCTATGTTATTTCCACTTCATCCAAATGTTTCTAGCTAAGCTGTCCAAATCAAGCTTTTTTAGAATTTGTTCTCTTTGTAGCATAGGTACACTGAGCTTTGCCATTTACTGGAACTCTCTATTCTTTTTTTTTTTTTTTCTTGAAGACCATGATATGCCTAGACTGTGGGAAGTAGTTTGTGAGGAAAAATGAGAGAGGAAAAAAAAAACTCTTCCTGACTAGATTTGAAGTCTAGTTTGTGATCTAGTGACACAACATTTTTGTTGCAAGAGACTGCACTTTCTTGATTTTTCTCAGTGAGAGTTTTCTTTACAGCAGTGGTCAACAGTTTCCAGTTTTCAGCACCCTCTTTGAATTTGGAACTGTTTACCACAGAAGCATCCTCACTTGTCTAGGAACTGAAAACCTGACACACTCAGCTGCCAGCCATTGCAACTGTACCATGCCAGGAGGGATAAGTTACTTGTTCTTGAGTCTGCAGGGGCTCTGGGTTCTTTCTAGGGTGTGTCAGCAGGGTTAAACTCAACCAGCTTGGATTTTTCATTTGTCAAGGTTTGGATCTTCTTCAGGTCCCATTTTTAATTTCCTGGGGTTTTTTTTTTGTTTTGTTTCGTTTTGTTTTTGGGGTGCATCTGTTGTTCTGAGCGTTGCTTATTTTCCTAATTTATGTTTGAGATAAGCAGAGTTGATGAAGTCTCAGCAACGTTTCATGCATTCATTTTTACTGTGGTGTCTACCAAAATCTGAAAGTAGCTGTACAAATCGCCCCAAACAT